CTGTACCTTGGTACATAGGGTAAGAGAAAGGCCCCTTTGACAAAGCCATCGGGCACAATTGCAGATGAGCCCAGCTCTCAAGCTTTAGGCCTGTCCTGGATCTGGAGGGAAGTTCAGGAGCATCAAAGTGATTCTTGTCGCAGTGGGAATCCAGGACTTCCCAGGGTCTCTTGGAGCCTGTGGATGCCTGGGCTAGGATGTGCCACATGGACACCCCAAAGAGGTGGCAGCAGCCTGAGCTCTTCCTGGACTATGCTGCCAACATGGGTCAGCACCAGTTTGGCAGGATACCATCCGGTGGCTCCTTGGCTGCTTTTTGCTAGGAGTGAGAACTGTGCAAGGCTTGCAGGATGTTGTCTTCTGCCCGCTGAGCCCCCGGGCTTTGTTTCCACAGGAGGCGAGTCAGCCGCCAGGGGTTGGGGGAGAAGGAGATATTCTGGGTGCATGGTTTGCTGAGCCCAGTTCAGTGGCTAGGAACCAGGGCTTGGGACTTGCACCCTGGCTCTGCCTCTCACCCCATGACAGACGCAGCGCGGCCTGCCGAGAGCCTGAGTCTGTAGCTCTGCGAAGCGTTAGCTGCCTCCTCCGTCTCTGTGGGGCGTCACCTCTGAAACCTGCTGCTCCGGTGGCCCTTCCTAAATCAGCCCAGCCAAAGTCATAGCTTGTCGTGGTAGTGAGACGCGGGGTGAACAGGTCTTCGGGAGGCAATGATAACAGGAGGGAGGGGACCCTGATAGCCCAAAGAGGAGAAGGAACAAGCCTCCAAGCATAAGACTTGTGTACAGGTGGCCACGGCCATGTTGCACATCCCTCGTACCACGCAGGGGATCTGTGTCGCGGGTAGGCTCCAGGCGGGGTGGCTGAGGCTTGCTCTGTTGCATCTCTCCTCATTGCTGGCTGCCCCTCTAACCTGCTGGTGCTTTGGCTTCCAGACGTGCAGCCCCCCGAAGGGAAGAGCCGCGACTGCCTGATGGTCATCATGCTGAGAGACGGCTCCAAAGTGACCCTGTGCGCCGAGAGCGAGGACGACGCTGTGTGAGTGACTGTGGGTGCTGCGTGGGCAGCAGGGGTGCCCCGTCTCTCACCTGCTCTTTCTCCTGGGTTTTTTAACTCTGTTTCCCGACCAGGGAACTAAAACCTACCAAAGGCATAAACAGCCCTGCAATGTTACAACAGACTCCATCTCCCAAAAGACAGCAGGTTTCCATTGGGGTCCCCGGGGACAGGAGTCATGCGTCGTTTTAATGGAGCTCGCTATAAACACAGAGTAAGGCGCGTGCCCCGGTCTGACAGGCAGAACTTGGTTTGTTGCACAGAGAGAGGAGACCTGGACTGGCATTTAGAGAGATGAGCTTGCAGACACAGCTTCCTGCAGCTCTCTCTTTCCCTAGCAGCTTGCAGGATCTTCAACCAGGGTGCCACAGCACCCTGGGGTGCCTTGAGATCCTTTCAAGGGTGCTGCGGGAGGCGTGCAAATGTGTTTCACAAGATAAATCCAGATATTTTAAATAGAAGCCCATAGCTCTGACGTTTCTGAGTTCTTTGCAACAGAAAAAACTGCTCTAGTAGTTTTCACTACTTTTTTGACTACAGAAAAATAAGAGCTGGCATTTGCCCAGGGATACCGCGAGTCTATTCAGGTGTGCCGCGAGTCTTAAGGAGGTTGAGATCCCAGCTGCATTGTCTGCGCAGCTCTGTATTAGCACACTTGCCTGCGAGCTAAATAGCTTTGGTTCTGCAAAGAGACCGGACGGCAATGCTGGAAGAAGAGGGCAGGGGGAAGTACGCTGGGTGTGCTGCCTCTTGGAGGAGGCATTAAAGGTGTGCTTGTGGCTGCCTCTTACCATCTCAGGATCAGATCGGTGCCCTAGCTGCTGCTCTCCGTGCTTTATAGCACAGGTTTTAATATGCCAGGTGGGATTCATTGGCAGCTTGGTATCTGTCAAAACCTAGGGTTCAGCTTGCAGTCTTGCAGCAGCTGGTACCTGCACTCGATATAGATGCCCCCCCAGACCTGAGAAGCCATGCATAGATAGTGCCCCTGTGAGGTGGGAGACAATTAATGCACGAGATGAAGTAACCTGCCCCGAATCTGTGGCACAGAGGGAAACCAAAAGCAGATGCCTTGTGTCTCAGGCCACGTACAAGCAGTACGTTTCTACCTGGAGGATTGCCACTTTCTTGGTAGAAATTGCCAGCGCACAGGCATCTATTCACCGTCTCACCGAGGAAATAGGCCCTAGCAGTGAGGAAGATCTTCCACCCTGACACCTGGGAGGTCTCCCCTGCAAGAGCGCTTCTCTCGCTAGAAAGAGCGCCTGTGCGCTTGACTCCTCTGCGATCGGAGGAGTCCAGCTGCAGCTTCCCCTGTGCCCTCCCTCGCCTGGGGTGACCCCACTCTGCAGGGGGCGAGAGCAATTGCCCCACTACCTTCCCCAGAGCCTGGGGAAGGTGTGGGAAGCAGGAGAGAGGGGGTGTCTGTAGGCTGGGACACCTGGACAGTCCCTCTCTTGGGCAGCTTTCGACTGCTGCTGATTTCCCAGAAACCGACAGTGACAAAAATGAACACTTGGTTCACGGCCTCAGTCAAGTCACTTAGCCACAAGATCATCCTTTCTGCTGGAAGGCAGTGCACGCAGCTGTCCTTGTTATCTTAGTATCCTGTCCTCCAGATTGTGGGGCCCGTTGTCCTCCTCGCCTGAAGGACTGCTTTTCAAAGTGGACTTTTCGAGGGGCTCAGTACAAGCAGGGGATGTATGCTAAGATTCGTACACTTCAGTATCTTTTTTCAGTCAATTTTTCCTTTTCTCCCTTTTCCGTTCCTGCTGCCATGCAGGCCCATACCCTCCTCCCTGCAGATCGCTGTTGGTTCAGAAATACCATTTGTAAAATACTTTGGGAACAAAGGCACCGAGAGAGATGGAAAATCTTACTGGCCATTTGGGGTTTTAATTAAAGTAATTTAGAGCAGGAAGGAGCCACTTAAAACATGAAAATAGAATGAAAGGTCTTCTGAAAGGTGGATCAAAACCCTCCTGTTTAACCAATATACACAAGCTGGCAGAAAGATTTGTGTTGGGCTGAAAGGGCTCTTAATGGAAAAATTCAGATGACAAATTCTGTTTGGGTTTCTTTTTACTCATTAAGGGCCTTTATTGGTTGCCTTTCCTCTTTACTTTCCCCACACTTTTACTTGTCTCCTCCGAAAAGGAGTGTGACGGGCTAGCTGGCAGTGACCTAGCCCAGGGGTTTTGAAAGGGCAAAAGATGATTGGAAGACTTGGGATTCCCTTTCCGCACCAATCAGGCCCCAGAGACTCACCCCCCTGTGTCCTGATTGCTCCCTTGGGCCACCTGGAGGGGGATAAAAGGGGCAGCGTGGGAGACCGGTGAGGGACAAGGAAGGAGCTTCACAGAGCTGGCAAGAGCTGGGCCAGCGGGGCAGGAGCAGTGCCCTGGAAGAGCCTGAAAGAGCAAGACCTGCAAGCAGCAGTGGGAGCCTCAGCAGCGCGGTGTGCGGCCAGCAGGAGAGGCTCCCCACTGGGCTCCAGGATCCCCTGGGAGAGGCTGCAGTCAGCAGGAGAGGCTCCTTGCTCCAGCAAGGATCTGAGCAGCGACCTGAGGGGTTCCCTGCTCTGCTTCCAGCTCCTTCAGTCAGAGGCCAGGAAGCTTGACGTGAGGCAGGGCTCTGGGAAGGTCAAGACTGGAGCAGTGTTACCAGTGGCGGCTTGTGGCAAACAGCAAGAACAGTTGCCAAAGTCCTGTGGGAAAAGTACTTCTCTGTGTTTGGGCTGCCCGCAAGAATCCACTCCAATCAAGGGCAAGATTTTGAGAGCCAGTTGTTGCGTGAAGTACTGACAGTGGCTGGCATACAGAAATCAAGGACTACACCCTACCACCCCCAAGGGGATCCCCAACCCGAGTGCTTCAGTCACACTTTTGAACATGCTGGGTACCCTCCAGCAGGAACAGAAGGCTGCATGGAGCCAGCATATTGCATACCTGGTGCATGCCTACAACTCGACTAAGAATGATGCAATGGGGATCAGTCCGTATTTATTCAGGTTCAGGAGGGAGCCCCGGTTACCCATAGATTTGTGCTTTGGGGTAGAACGAGTCTACCAACAACATTTGAATCATGGTCAATATGTACAACAGCTTCGGGACCGTCTCCGTCGTGCGTACCGACTGGCAGCTGAAACTGCTGGAAGAAACCAGCAATTCCATAAGTGGCTTTATGATGCTCGTGTGCGTGAGCAGAGGTTACAAGAAGGAGACCGGGTGCTGCTGCGAAACCTGGGGTTAACTGGGAGACACAAAATCGCTATACAGTGGTGCAACAACTGGGAGACCTCCCAGGATACGAAATCTCCCCTGAGTCTGGACCAGGTCGAAGTCGCGTGGTCCACCAGAACCTCCTGCTGCCTATTGGCGAATTGGTGGGGCCCCCTCTGCCCGAGAGAGAGCCACAAGAAGAGAGGCCTAGGTCTCCCTGTAGAAAGAGGCCTCACGCCACCCAGCTGGCAGTTGTACCTGCAGCTCCCCCGGAGGACTCGGACTCGGACTCGGACTCTGACGGGTGGTACCCTGCTGACTTTCACCTAAGCTTAGGACCTGCCACTCCTCAGGGCGAAGGGGAGACGGGGACTGCTGTTCATGGGGCCCCGCCTGGCAAGACCGAAGGAGAAAACATCCCCACACCTTTACCTGCCAGTGGGGCAGACTGCTCCAGTGAGAGGGAACCTGAGCCGCTGGGGGCCTCATGGAGTCCTGCCCCAGACCGCACCCCATGACCAAGGCGGGAACTTCGGCCAGTCCGTCGCTTCACCTACGATGCCCCAGGGGTGCTGGAGGAGGTCCCCATCGCTTCCCTTTGGGTCCACTAGTCCCCCAGGCTGAGGCCTGTGCTTCACTGGGGACGGTGAAGGGTTCCACAGGGGAGGATGTGATGGGCTGGCTGGCAGTGACCTGGCCCAGGGGTTTTGAAGGGGTAAAAGATGATTGGAGGACTTAGGATTCCCTTTCCGCACCAGAGACTCACCCCCTGTGTCCTGATTGGCCCCTTGGGTCACCTGGAGGGGGATAAAAGGAGCAGCATGGGCTGACTAAGGGGAGAGGCCAGTGAGGGTCAACAAAGAAGGAGCTTCACAGAGCTGGCAAGAGCTGGGCCAGCAGGGCAGGAGCAGTGCCCCGGAAGAGCCTGAAAGAGCAGGACCTGCAGGCAGCAGTGGGACCCTCAGCAGCGCGGCGTGCGGCCAGCAGGAGAGGCCCCCACTGGGCTCCAGGATCCCTGGGAGAGGCTGCAGCCAGCAGGAGAGGCTCCCCTGCTCCAGCCAGGATCTGAGCAGTGACCTGAGAGGTTCCCAGCTCTGCTTCTAGCTCCTGCAATCAGAGGCCAGGCAGCTCAACGTGAGGCCGGGGCTCCGGGAAGGTCAAGACCCCTCACAGGCTGGCACAGTGCTACCAGTGGTAGCTGTGTGGCAGCGTTCCTGCCTAGGACAGGGGAAATTTGAGTTTAAGTCCCACCTGATGTGACTTGGGGTGAGTGAGATAACAAGAAGCAAATCTTCTTGCAGTGGAAAGGGGCCATCGTGTTTCCCCCCTTTCTCCCCCTCCAGGTACCAAGGCCCTATATTTCCTTGTCATTTGACATTTTGCATTTTGTGCCTTTTTATATTTCACCAACCCATATTGTTTGTTCTGCTGTTTGTGTTTTCTATTTTGTTAACCCTGTTTTTTGCCAGTGGTTGTAAGTGTCTACCCTTTGTTGAATCCTGCCCCCTTGGGGCATTGTAGTGTCCACTTTACCCTCTGATTTATGCCTGTTATGTTCCCAGTATTAAAAGGTATATGGTTAAGTCCCCATTGGTGGTCTGGCTCTGCTCTATAGGGGAGGAGAGTCCCTACACCTCCCACAGCAATTGTGCACTTGCTTTGATCCCTTCAATTGGAGAGAGGGTACTTCTCGGAGTACTGCCCGGGTTACAGGACAAAAAGTCAAAAAAACAAACCCTAAACTGGGGAGAATGCCCCTCC